ATACAGTTAACCCTAAACCTAATACTAAACGCCCTAGTAAACCTACAAGCGTTCTCATGGATGCATTCCAAGATATGACGGACATGAAAGATGAATATTTAGACAAATTTTTCAGTCGTATTGCACCATATTTTCACGAAGAAGATGTCCCTGCTGGGGCGACACTTTGGTCTCAAGGAGATAAACCGGATTGTCTTTACCTTGTTGAAAGTGGTTTACTTCGTGCTACGTGGCGTGCAACAGAAGGTGATCCCTCTCGACCTGTTGAAACCATCCTACCAGGTACTATGGCCGGCGAAATAGGTTTCTTTACAGAAAGGAAAAGAGATGCTACTTTGGTTGCGGAAAGTCATTGTATCTTATGGAAGATGAAAAAATCAGACTTTGATGAGTTACTTGAAAAAGATCCGGACGCTGCAAGTCATTTTATGCGATTGACCCTAAACTTCCCCGCCGAAAGATTAATTGCAATGACTTATTATGCTTTTCATCTATCACAGTAAAAAAAACCATTCAAACTTTACATTTCACTGGAATCGGTAATTTCTATAATAATTTAAAAACAATCTAGGAGTTATTCCAATTTATACAAAAAAAAATCCCCCAAAAATTATAACGTTAATAGAAGAATTGTAATGGGTTAAAAAGTTTTACTTAAAAAAAAAAAATCTTAGATAGTTATAATAAATATTTGTGTTTTATCTATCATGCTACTATTGTGGTGTATAGGAGGAAAACAACCTTTTTTTAAATTCGATCTTATTAATATAATTATTAATACATACGTTCGTACTTATGGTCGTATATACGACCATATGCATATGTTGTAGGTGGGAACAGAATTTTAAGTGGATCTGTAATTTTCTTAATAAAACTAGAATTTTTTAGGATATAATTTATATAACCATTTAACCTAAAATTTTAAAAATTCCAAATCCACCTAAATTTCGTTCTCACTTGCAACATATAAATTCGTATGCAAGTACATACGAACAGTATATCCGTGTTTTTGATAGTTTTATGACAGCTACAACTCATTGAGGACAGATTGTATATGGGCCAATCGGCCTTGAATAGAGTCACTAAATTTAGTCTAAACCCCTTATTTAATTTTTTTGATTGGTCTGATGAATGATTAGAGGGATCATTTTGCGCTATTATGTGAGAAGGATTTAATGAATATGCGTCAAACCCATCATATTATCTCAAAACCCATTAGATTATCGTCTAATTATTAGCCTGAACCTACTGAAACATGCCATTTTTCATTGTCGTATAGTATTAAAAATAAACATTCTGTCTCAAAAATGATATACAGTCAATACTATACTATCTAAATGTATAAAAAAATTTTGGCTTTTAATTAATAACACCAAAATGGTTCTTATGACTTAAATTCATATGAGTGCGTGAGAGTGAAAACTTGAAATTCAGAAACAGATTTACCGGTAATGATTTACTATGATTGGTTACAGGTTTTTACTCTCACGCACTCATCTATATGCATAAAAAAGTCTCTGACGGATGGCATGCAATTATATTAATAAGCTGTTTGTCAAGTTATTGTATTGTCAAATAACCTGTTTTATCATCAAAAAGTTTTCGGGTACGGGGGTTTTCTCATCTGCATAAAGATACATATTGGTCTATATTTTAGGATTGTTTATTTTCAGTAATTTGACCAATCAAAATTTAAGATCAGGTGTTAAAAACAAACTTGGTTTGTTTTCTATACATTTGAGTTATTTTATCTTTTTAATATTACTACAAAAATCAATTATATGAAGTTGGTCATAAAAAATCTTTGATCAACTTTAAAGTTGTATTATATATAAAGAGAACCTCTGTGTAATGATTATAAAAAATCTTTATAAATATTATGTAAAAGTATTTTTTTTAGTATTAAATTTAGACACAAAAATCCTATTATAGTCAATATTAAATAACTGATTTTTGAAGTATTGATAAAAAAATTTTATAAAATAAGAATTATATAATAATCAGAATATGATATAATTTTATTTTAGTATAGAAAATAGAGTGTGTAATTTAATAAAATTTAGAGTAAATATACAAAAACAAATTAAAAATTATTTTAGTATACAAATTTGTATACTAGACAGTTAAGAGATATATTGTATAAATATTTAATCTTTTTTTCAAATATTATATAATACTTGGTATAACCTTGATAACAAATCTGCAATCTAACTAATTGATAAGAAAAAGTAATCATAAAAGATTATTTATAATTTATATAAAAAAATCTATATAATAAAAATTTGCCAAAATTTAAAAAATAACAAAATCAATAATATTTTATGATTTAGTAATCCAATTTTAACAATTTTGATACTATTTAAACCATCTTATTGAAACAAATTAAATATAGTAGTATCAAATTATTAAATTTGGATTATTAAATCATGAAATAATTATATCTAACTAAAATTTTAAAATATCTAACTATTTTGCTAACCAATAATCAAAATTTGATGATTTTGATATCATTTGATTTATCTTGATATAATAGTTTAAATAGTATCAAAAATATTAAAATTATATTATTGAATCATAAAATAATTACAAAAAACTATCTACAATATAGGTTTTTAAAATTTTATATTTTATTATATTATAAATAGTTTTTTATAAATACTTGTAACCGGACAACTCTCTCTAATGATCACTTGTACCAACCAGTTACTGAAAGCAAGCAGAAAACTCAAGACCAGAAGTGAACAAATAACTTGAAGTTTTCTTAATACGAACTGTTGTTGACGAAGTTTTAAACGTGATACACCGAGGAGCAGCGTTTTAGACGGTTTGCAAAGGGGTCAAGCCTTTTTGCTTCTCTTTTTTCCAGGTGGACTCTTTTTTGCGTTCGGTATCCAAACCGGAGAAGTCTCTGGGAACAGTAAGTAGAAAGAAGACTCAAGTTATTTTGGAAACAGAAGGCTATAAAGAACTCTTGAAACAACACTCCTTGGTTAGAAAACTCACAAAACTATACTTTCGTTCACCATTTTCTTTTTTTATAATTTTCGACAAAAAGTAGGGATTTGGCTACCCCTCTCCAAAAGATTAGCATTATTTACATTTCTATTTTCAGAAGGTCTCGAGTTATGATATGATGAATGAAGAATACAACAATCACGTGTGAAGAGAAAGTTCTATTTGGATTAAATTGAAGTATGTGGAAGTCTCGTATTAGATCGGCTTTGACTGTACAGGAATAAAGGCTCTATACGACAGACCTGAGGGAGTAGCTTTCAATGATGCCAGTAGACCTAGGGAAGACTCCTGTTTAATCTCGTATAGTGAAGAAGCAAGATATGTTATGAAAACTGTTAAAGGATTTCATAATCTGGAAAGAGTGGCTCAGTATAAATGAAACCAACGATCACATATCGAGGCTTTAAAATTTGCATTCTAGGATTTGAGGTAGATTTAATGAGAGTTGTCAACTGAAGTGATATAAAATAGAGATATGCAATATTCTGAAGTCATATGCATATAATTTTTAGCTCTTAGCACAGGTTAAAGTACAATTTAGTTCATAGTCTCTTTTTTGTCAGATAGCTCTATATATAGATTTCTACGACCATGTAGATGGTTTTTTACCTAGTTAGCAGATTTTTATATTTGTAGACAAGTTCTCTTAGATTTTAGAATAGTTTCTTTAGATTCCTTTATAATTTGGTCATTTTCGTATATGTTTTAGTTTTTTTACTTTTTCTATTTTCGTTTTACCCTTACCTTTTTTTTTCTTTTTTATTTCTCTACAAGAAAGTATCATCAGATTGGCGGCACTCTATTGTAGAGCAGTGATTCTGACAAGATTAGTGAATCCCATCTGTTGATATCCAGAGTATACATCCTCAATAAGTTGAGGATCCTGGAAGGTGGTAAATTGTTACTTAGGTGGGTTGCTCCTGGGTCATACTCTAGCGTAAAATTCTTGGCTTTGGCCGTGGTTTTATTGCAATAATGAAACAGATTGAGAGATTCTTTATTTATACAGAAATATAGTAGTATTAACAATTTGTATGTAAGCCTAGCTAGCTAAGAGTATATTTGTAATCTACTTCTGATAAAAAAAATAAAAGAAGGATCGCTGAAGTAAAAAAAAAAAAGTAAAAAAATAAATACTTGTAATCTATTAATCAAATTTTAATATTTTTGATATTATTTGAACTGTCTTATTAAGACAAATCAAATAATACTAAAATGATCAAATTTAGATTATTGATTACTGAGATAATTATATTTAATTGGTGATTTGTCAATTACCTAGTGTATGATCATAGGTGAAATTTGAATCTGTATCTGGTTTGCAGATTCTTCTGTATAATATTCATGTTTATATACAATCCTATTGGCCGATGATAATATGATTATCCGATTTATTAACGAATAAAATTTTCTTAATAACCACTTTATTAATATTGATAATTTTTTTTTTATCTGAATTTTACGAATACATAGAATTCAAATAAAAAATTTTTGTTAAAATTGACGAAGTAGTTATTGAGAAAACTTTGCCCAAAGTCAGAAAAATTTTTACCTTTGCAATTAAAAGTTTTTTTGATATTTACTTAACTAATTTCTATAAATTTTTTTACTTAAATTTTACATAATTATAAATTCAAATAAGAATCTTCATAGAAATTAATTAAATAATTATTAAGAAAATTTTGTTCAAAGTTTAAAAAGTTAAACTCATAGGTGGGAATGATTTTCTTTAACTTTGAACAAAATTTTCTTGATAACTACTTAGGCAATTTCGATAAAAATTAATTTATCTAAATTCTGCATAATTATAGAATTCAGATAAAAAAAAATTTATCAAAATTAATAAGTGATTATTAAAAAACTTTGCTCAAAATTTAAAAAATTACAGTTTTAACTTCAATTAATAAATCAATAATCACATTATCATCAGCTAATAGGATTGCACATAAATATGGATATTACATAAAAGGATCTGCAAACTAGACATAGATTCAAATTTCACATGATCATAGTATAATATGACACAAATTACTATATAAATCATATATACTCTAAATGTAGTATTCACCTAACTAAAACTTTTTTTATTAAATTAATTATTCTTCTGGATTAAGTAAAATTGTAGAGCTTGTCAAGGCATATCTTGGAATGCATCCATGAGAACGCTTGTAGGTTTACTAGGGCGTTTAGTATTAGGTTTAGGGTTAACTGTAT